CTCTCTCTCTCTCTCACTCTCTCTGGGTTTCTATCACTGTGATAAACACCATGACCAAAAGGCAACTTGGGGAAGGAAGGATTTATTTCCCCATATACTTCAGGAAACAGTCTAACATTGAAGGAAATCAGGCCAGGAACCTAAGGCAGGAAGCCAGAGGCAGGAGCTGGTGCAGAGGCCATGGAGTAGGAATGCTACTACTGCCTTCTAGCCCATAACTTGTTCAGCCTGCTTTCTTATGGCCCTCAGGTCCATATGGCCAGGGAGGTCATACTGCCCAGAATGGGCCAGACCCTCTCACATCAATCACTAATTAAGAAAAGGCACCACAGATGTATGGAGGCATTCTTTCAATTGAGAGTCCCTTTTAGACACAAATAAGTCTAATTTGTGTCAAGATAGGACAGTGTGGGACTGATGAAATCAGTTTAGATTGTTTCCTCATCTCCCAGAACCTCATATCTCACTTTGGAAGCTCCAGCATAGAGCTCTTTATTCACTCATCCCTGTGCTTTTGGTGGGTGGTCTCACACAGGAAACCCACATCTTCCAGTTCTACAATGTGTGTGTGTGTGTGTGTGTGTGTGTGTGTGAGAGAGAGAGAGAGAGAGAGAGAGAGAGAGAGAGAGAGAGAGAGAGAGAGAGAGAGAGAGAGAGAGAGAGAGTATAAGTGTGCATTATGGGGAAGAGAGGTTGCTCCTCTATGTCACCCCCGCAGGTAATATTTGCCTTGGTTTATTTGTCTCTCACTGGGACCTTGGACTTGATGATCAGTCTAGTTTGGCTGGTCATTGAACCCTGAGATACTGTCTCTGCCTTCCTTGGGCTGGAAATTAGAAATGCATAGCCCCACATCCAGCTTTTTATGTGGATGGTTGGGGTAGAACATAGGTTCTTATGCTTCTGTGGCAAGCACTTTACCAATGTGCTATCTCTCTGGAATCTGAAGCTTCCTAGGGTTTCAGCCTCTTTCTTCTTCTACAGCCACTACTAGTCCCCTTCTAGACACATGCTCTTATCTTCTCTGTGTCTGTCTTTGTGGTTCGAGGAACACACTGTTTCTTTTGTCACAACCCTGTCTCTTCACATGGGCTCTCCAGAAGGCTGATAGATAATATGGAGGTCTGGCCCTTTTTAGCCAGGGAGGGGCTAAGATGAGCTAGCATTGGTAAGTTTCCACAAAAGCTCCTTTGATATTTGCTTCTCCAATATGGGGGTGCCTAGAGGTGCTCCATTCTTCTGTGGAGCCCTGCATGACCCTGACACTAGTGGGAACCTAGGCATACTGGAAGGCTGGTATGCAGCTATCCATGCTCAGGGACCTATGTTGATTTTTGGAAGGATCCCAATACAGTTTTCTATGAATTTTTTGGTATGGCCCCCATATCACACACAACCTTCAGAATTCCATGACAAAGACCCCAAGGTTCCAGCTCAACCTACAGTAGCTCCTAAAATTGACCCTTTCCCCACTTCTTAGTTGGCAGGAAGCTGTAGTTGCAGAGTGGAATGGGTACAGAGCTGGCTTTCCTTAAGAAAGTTTGACCTGGACAGATGCTAAGCATTACAGAAGATGCTGTGAGTATTGCTGAGAAGCAGGGCCATCTGTGTTTGTGTTCTTTGGTGATGTGACTGCTCTCAGTGCTCTTGACCTCCAGATGTTCCAGTGGCATGGGCTGCCCAGAAGCCAGTTAGTTTCAGGCAAGCTGAGAGGAATTGTCACGTATAGTGGCTGCTTAAGAGGAATCTATATCTGTCTGTAATAGAGTGCAGAGGTCAGACAGTCACACCCACATGTGTTCCTCCAGCTGGCATCTAGGCATCTTTGAATCTGTGTTCTCTGGGGTATACACGCCTGTGCAAGTGTTAACTCTTAAGCAGGACTCCTAGGAAGCCCTCCACAAACCTCCCTACCCCCAACAACTGTGTGTTTATGCCTACAGAATTAAAATGTGGTACTTAATAGCTAATTGGGAAAAATGGATTCCAATCCAGCTGGTTTATTCTGACTTAGGGGACAGTATGGCTCACTGTTGAGCATCTTGCAATTCATAAACATCACAGAAATGCTGAGTAAACACTGATTAGAATATCTGTGAAAGTCACTAATATGTGCAGTGCACAGTGCAGCTATAGCCAGCCAACATCTGCACAGAGACCCACTCTAGGCCAGCTATGAGGGACCAGAGTCCCCACCTGCAATCCTCTAGCCCTTTTCACTTAGGTCCCATGTAAGCCCTGCTGTCAGGGCTAGTGGAAACCAGGAACCCAGGAACTGCAGAAGAGGAAAGGAATCCCACCCATTGCTTCATCTCTAAAAAATGATATACCACAGACAGGTACAGGAAAGGGTGCTACTTCCCTGTCTGAGGAGAACCTTCAGCATTCATTAGACACTTGGCTCAGTGCACATGGATGGTCACATGGCAAAGTCTAAGGGGCAACTCCAGAGGCAACACTTAACAAAGCTAACCCAGAGCCTCATTTGTCACCTGAGTTGCCAGGGCCATGCACTTCCCACTTTCCACAGTGATGCTTGCATCTCACACAGCACCACTGTGCTTATGTTGCTATAAGTGGTACTCATCCCAGTGACCTGAGAAGCACTCTAGTATTTTTATGACCTCTCTGCCTCCTTTTACATGCTCATCATGAGCCAGTAAATTAATTTCATGACCCACTAATGGGGTGGTGACCCATGCTGTTGAGAAGCAGTGATTTCAGAAATGCAAACATCAGCATGTGCCTGGGGTCTGCACTGAGCTAATCAATGGATTCATTTATCACACATACTTAGGAGGCCCCATTAGGGGACAGGCTACAGGATCCTCAGGCCCAGTGATCTGCCCCTGAGTAGCCCCCACTCAGGTGACACACACTGTTATGAGTAGTTTTCCCTGCTGGTCTGGTCCCACTGCCTTGCCAGCCCCAAATAACACACAGAGACTCTGTATGTATTAGATATAATTCTGTTGGCCAGTTACTAGTTTTTTATTAGCTAGCCCTGTCTTAAATATTAACCCATTTCTATTAATCTAAGTATTTCCATGTGGTCTCATCTTACCAGAGAGAGGGGCTGGTGTTCTAGTCTCTCTGTCCTCCATGATGAATCTCCTCCTCCTACTTCCTCATTCCTCCTTGTCTCCTAGTCTCACCTATCTTGCTTTCTTATTGGCCAACAGTGTTTTATTCATTAACCAATATGAGAAACATATTTACAGAATGACATCTCCCATCAACACACAGAAATATAATTAGCAAGTGACATTGTGCTGGGGTTAGGGAGTCACAGTGGAGCTTGGATGCCAAGTTAGCATAGCTGGGGTGCAGAGTGGAAAGGGGTATTGGCTGAAAAAGGTCCTATCTAGGATGAGTGGCACTGGGAAGGAAACAGTAGCCATTGCATGGCCACTAGGCCTCTTAAAGGTAATGAGTGACAAGACAAAAACATGTCACCTTAGGCTAGATGATCCAGTAGGAGCAGGGTCTCATTTTTTTAAAAATAATATTTGTATTAAATTTGCAACAAGATTATTTTACATGCCAATCCCAGTTCCCACCCTCTCCTCCTCCCCTGTTCCCCTCTCAACCCCTTTCTGCTCTCCAGGGAGGGTGAGGCCTTCAGTGAGGGTCTTCAAAGCCTATCATATCTTTTGGACCAGGGCCTAGGCTCTCCACCATCTGTCTAGGATGAGAGAGTATCTATCTATGTAGAATGGGCTCCTTAAGTGTACTTGTATATTAGGGATAAATACTGATCAACTACCAGAGGTCCCATTGATTGCCCAGTCCTCCTAACTAACACCCACGTTCCGGGGGTCTGGGTCAGTTCTATGCTGGTTTCCCAGCTATTAGACTGGGGTGCATGAGCTCCCCCTTGTTCATCATTTTAGACTCAAGGACATCATGTAGACTAGACCATAGAGCTGTCCAGCTCCCTTCTAGCCTCTGGAAGAGGTAAAGCTGCTCAGGGGGCCTCACGCCCACTCAGTCCACTGTGGTATCTAATTACAATTACACATGCCCATACTTGCCCATCTCTTCCAAGTGTGACTCCAGCAAGTGGGGAATATAACAAGTCTGGGGATACCTCTGGTCCCCCAAAGGACACAGCCTTGTTATGACTCTGCTCTGAATCATGGGGGTGGGGGAACTATGGATATATGACTTTTTTCTTGGCATCAGTTTTCACCATTCTAGCACTTACGCAGGTAGCTGAACAGTCTGGGGTGTGGTTGGGAGGCAGGGCCTTATATAGGAGGCCACTATGTGGCATTAGGTAAGCCTTTGAGCAGAGCAGACCTCTGCATGGTTATGGCTGATGGGGCTCACCACGATCTGTTGTCTCTCCTTACACTTATCTGCAGTCTCTGCCTTGGGGGCTCTTAGGAACTCAGGGGGTCAAGCTGCATGAGGTCTGCACAGGGCAGAAGCAGACATATACTAGAGTCCTCTGCACTCAACCACCTGTGAAAAGAGCAGTTCTAGAGCTCAAGTAAACTGTGGCCTTCAGAAAGAGCTCAGTGTGCCCTGCTTGATGGGGTGAGGAGGATGAGGTATTGAGAGCTCTTGGGGTTTGTTAGCAGTCACCAGATCATATACATGTGCAGCCCCCTTCCTAGGCCTGAATCTGGATGGTTCCCTTGGCCTCAGGTGCAGTACAGAAACTTTCCCTCAGGGTTTGAGATACCTGGTGTACCTCCATATCTCCACAGTAAAGCCAAGAAGCATTGCATTAGCTTCACTTGAGATGACCAGACCAGCTGACCAATCTATGTGGTTCTGTGTTCTGTGATTTGGTTCCTGTGTATCCAAAGACCAAATGATTAGGTACAAGCTCTCAGGCTTATACCAGAGGGTAACAAGAAGCTGTGATTGCAATGGAGACACCAGCTTCCACCTGTTCCTGTTCAATCCCATAGAACCTACATCCATCATGTGCTGTGGTATTTGCTCACTTTTCCCCAACATGCACACAAGAAAGGAAAGGGGCCACATACCGTGGTGGTCTTTATCCGCCCTCCGGGCTGTGTGCAAGTCCAACCTGACCGGTTGATTAACAAGTCGCAGCCTTCCCCCTCCAGGCAGGGGAGCATGTCACACCACTGCTTTGTCTTGATAATTCTTGCTGTGGGAGAGAGGAGAGAGCTGGTGAGTGTGCCACTCCCAACACACGGGCATCCCTGAGTGGAGTGCCTGTACCCTAAAACTGGGTTTGGCATCTGGATATAACAGTGGGAAGCCCCATGAGCAGGTAGCATTTCTGCATGGAGGCTGGCCACATATGGCCTCTTCTGGGTTTACCATCATCAGTCTCCAACTGCAAGTAACCACTGAGGGTGTCAGAACATCTTTATAACAGCACCATTCCCCTTCCCTAGGGGCAAAAGCCTCTTTGTTCTGTCAGAAACTGATAGGGGATGTCTTGGATCTATTGAGGTTGTTGTCCACATGACAACTTGGGTATGACCAGTGCTCAATGTCAGGAGTGAGGCCTGGCAGGAAGTCAGCAATTCTATAGACACTGTGACTCCCAAACACCTTTCATCTACAGACATAGGTCTGACTCAAGGTGCTGAGACTAGAAGGCCCAAGTCTCTGTCTTGAGCCCTGGAGCCTGCAGGGTAGTGATCTAGTGAAGAGCTGGCAGTGGTCACAGTGTTCATCAGAACAAGGACATCAAAGCCTACATAGAAGAAAACCACTCTTCTCCTTTGCTGGAAACCCATCCAGATTTGGTGGCCAGGCTTGATAGACAGGAAGGCTGTGAGAAGCCTATGAGGAAGAGGTCCATAATAGAGTTAGTATTCTTATTGCCAGAATCTCCCACAACCTGCTCACTTGCCTATAGCCTATCCGTTTATTCTCCTCCTTCCTGAGACAATTCTTACTACTGCTGCTTCACTCAAGAGACCCATAAACAGAGCTTGTGATCCAAGTAACAGCTGATCTTTGAGATGGTCAGTCATTCTCAATGAATGGGACTTACGATCACCTAGGAGAAGGTGGGGCACACCCATGGTTTGTGTGTGAGGGCTTTTCCAGAGAGGCAAAGGGGGGTGACCTACACTGAACTCAGGCAGAACCACCCATGGGACCCTGGACATAGGCAGCATGATCCATGGGCTGGGTGCCCCAGTAGAGCAAGAACAAGGAGAAAGCCAGTCTAGCATGGGCATTTCCTGTTCTGCCTCCTGGTATGAGCCATGCAAGCATGGACTAAGACCCCAGAAATCAACTCTTCTTCCTATTTCTGCCAGGTATTTCATCACAGCAGTGAGGGAGTAATAAACACAGGTGGTCAGGTTGGATATCAACACCTGTGGGCACTGCTGGAAGACTCAGCTATGCAGGATTCTACACCCAACTTTAACCCCAACATCAGAGAACAGAGGATACTTAGAATCCTTCATGAACAAGAAACCCAAAACAACCATCAAATCCTTTGGGGTCACAAAAGACTACACAAAGAATATGGTTATGCCTCAGTTACATGCTTGCCTGTGACTTCCATATCTGACACACCTCTCCTCATGCAGGAAGGGCCTAGCATGGACTCCTCACTGTTCACCCAGAGGTGACTGCCTTAGTCATTTAGTTTGGATATTTAGGACTTGTGCATAGAGGACTCTCATAATTTCCATGTATGTTCTTTCTTCATGAAGCAATGCCTCACTCTGACTGGATCCATGGCCCAGGAGTAAAGAGCTTGGACAGGATTGGACAACTGTGTCAGAGAGGAGTGGGTAACCTAAAGTAGATAACTGGTGTACGGCACAAGATTCACAGGACTGGCTCAAATATAGAGTAATACCATTTTATTTGGGGAGAAATCACTTACACGCAATGCAGATGACCATCATAAGTCCCTGCTCCAAGCATACACATGGGACACCCTCCGTGACCCAATCAGGAGCAAGAGAGAGCAAGCCTGTCCCGGACCCCAGACCAAATACCACAGGCTCACTTATGCATCTATGACCACACCCAGGTGTGGTCAGTGCCATAGGTGCAGCTGGGTGGATATCTCACTACAGTAACCTTCATAAGACAAAGCTACAGAGATCTTTCCATCCAAGGAAAGAGGGAACCACAGTCTCCATCCAAGCCATCTCCATTCCTGTTCCCTCACACAACTTTCGCAACTCCTGGGCTTCTGCTTTTCTACCTTTCTAGGCTCTTTTCCATTTCACTGTAATATATATATTCAGCTAGGCAATCAGTGGGCTTCACTGCCTTGAGATATATATGCCCGTGACCTGGCAGAGGAAGGGCCCAGTGCTCTGCTCCCTATTTCTTGAGATCTTGATTTTGGACAAGCATTTCTACAGTTACCCTTTGTATAGTTATGGCCCTGCACACAAGGAGCATGGGTTTGGAGGGCCTGGGATAGTATGGAAGACATGAAGGTAGGTATCCTATCTAGGTGGATGGGCATTCCTTAGCAGGCTTGACACACAAGGAAGTGTCTATGATGAAGTGCATTGATGGGAGATGTCATTCTGTAAATATGTTTCTCGTACTGGTTAATGAATAAAGCACTATTGGCCAATAGGAAAGCAAGATAGGCAGGACTAGGAGAGAACGAAGATTCAGGGATAGATAGTAGGGATTCAACATGTAGGAAGGACTGAGAGAGAACAACTCCAGACTCTCTCTCCGGTAAGCCAAGACCACATGGAAATACTTAGATTAATAGAAATGGGTTAATATTTAAGACAGAGATAGCCAGTGAATAATGCTAATAACAGGCCAATAACATTATATCTAATACAGCGTCTCTGTGTGTTATTTGGGGCTGGCATGGCTATGGTACTAGGCTAGTGGGGAAACATGCAAGTAACAGTGCATAGCAGACAGGAGCTTTGAAATTGACTAGCCATACCTGCCACAGAGAACTCCATGGGCTATGCTGCTTGCCTCACACCATCCCAGGGACTTTATATCAGTTGCCAGCAAAGTGGACTGTGCAACAGCCAGAATCCTGGGCCAGCACTTTTCACATTACTCTTAGAGACACAATATAAATTTGTGTGCCGAAGCCCCTGACCCTTGTATTGAGAGACAGGACCATATAGAAGTAATAAAATTCAAACAAGGTCACAAGGATGAATTCTGAATTAGAAGGATTAGTGGTCTTAGAAGGGACCCAACGAACACAATCTCCTCTCCCCACTCCACAACCCACCACCTGTGAGAACACAGTAAGAAAGCAGACTTGGACATCTGTGAGCTACAAACTGGCCCTGCCAGCACTGTGGCCTTAAACTTCCAGTCCCCAGAGCTAATGTCAAGCCACTAAGCCACCTGTCTGAGGAATTCTACTATGGAAGCCCAAACTGATGGAGTAAGGACTGGCCCATGCTGTGACCTCTGCACTAGGCCATGTGTAGCCCCAGGCTGAGGGTATTCCAAAGAGCCAGGCAGATGCCCAAGCCACTCTCCCACTAATCACAGCACAGGTGGCTGGTGGGCAAGTAGAATTGGCTTGTGTCACACATCTGTCCCTGGCTGTTCATTATTTGTGCAAAGTCACCAGCAGCTGCTTCTCCCAGTTCCAATGTGTCATTTTTGGTGACAGCAAAAGATGGCATGAAAACCATCTCAGTCACCAACAAATATATGCCTCGATGCCTCAAACCAGCTGCCCCAGGATCTACACCCAAACCTCAGTCCTCAAACTCCAGTTTGCAGTGCTTGAGAACTTTCTCAACAAGTTTAAGACTCTCTCTCTCTCTCCTCTCTCTCTCTCTCTCTCTCTCTCTCTCTCTCTCTCTCTCTCTCTCTCTCTCTCTCTCTCTCTCTGTGTGTGTGTGTGTGTGTCTTCCTCCTTTCTCTTCCTCCTTTCTTTTCCTCTCTGCCTTCAGCCACAGAGGGATGCAAGGGATGGGTTCAAAGACTGCCATGATAAATTTCCCTGTCTGCACAAGCCTGTCCCAATAAGCTACTCAGAAAGGGGTTTGCAAGTTAGGGAGCCATAGGCTCCGGTTACACAGCTCTGCCTGCCTAAAAAGCCAAGAACCGGACTGAGTTGTAAAAGAAAAGGAAGCCTCCAGATACTAGAAAGACAGAAAGATCAAAGTTCAACATCACCCAGATCAGGATCTGAGGTGACTCAGTATGGACTAATTAGGGCAGGGTGGTAGCACCAAGAGCCAGCCCTAGCCTGCCTGTCTGCAGGAAATACCAAGAATGCATGGGCTTTGGAAGCAGATAATAGCTTGTGGGCTAAAGGAAGCTGGGTCTGAGTTCAGATCCCATCTTATCTTGTATCAAGGCCACCTTCCCTGCAAAACACATGGGTCTCCTGAGTCTCCTCCATCCATTAACACCCAGGTAAGAAGTGGGAAGAGGGATTAAGCATGTAGTCTGCTGTCATGGGGAAAACTTGTACACAACAAGACAACATACACAGCTGTGCACAGGCCAGGAAGGGAGTGACAAGGTCCTAATGGTCTTAGGTTATGGAAGGGACAAAGTTCCTGTCGAGGCCATATAACATACACATCCATATGAACATACATATGTGCAGACAAGGGTCATAAAGAATACATGAACACAAACACAAGATACATATCTCACATGGTATAAATTTAACAGCATCCAGCATAAAGCAGTCTATGTGGGTACACATGAAAACAGAGCACATATTCATACATGTATTCACATGTGCAAACCTAGGACACCCATCCACATGAACCTGTATTACACATATTCTCACAATGCACACAAATGTATAAATCCTCACATATACATACTACAAATACTCACACATGTACATAATGACATATTTACACAGGTTGATATGTAACACATACATAAACATACACATGTATACATACCCATTATACGTGTATACATATATCGTACAAGGGTATTCAGGTACACATGTGCTTATACATACAATCACTGCACATATACAAGCACACAAATGTGCACATGTACACATACACTAATAATAGGTACACAGATGCACATACCACTACATATGTACACTGTAAGTATATATACATATTCAGACACCACACATGTCATACATGCATACACCACAAATATGTATGCACTCTATGAATACTTTGCATGTACATATCCACACATATGTATATCTACACATGTGTGCAAGGAAAC